CCTGATTAAGCAAAGAAGCTCTAAATCAGATTATGCATCTGGTAGCAATTAGATGGAACAGTTACCATCCAGGGACATAGTATTTCCAATGGAAAAAGAAAAAAACCCCACATTCGGTGGTATAATTAAACTACAGCTAGATGTAATAATCCTTTTTCTTCATAAACTGTATTCACACACATTTATAAGCTCTGCATTGCCCTTTTTCCAAAATGGTGAAATGAAGAATGCCTCATGGATGACAAAACTCCATTTGTCATACTGTCAGGTTTTTTTCAGTGTTGTGAAAGCAACTGTGGAACTATTTTCACTGTGATATCCGAACAGAGGAAATATGGGAGAATCTTTAGCACAAAGAGGATCATCTTGACCAAATGATTAAACAAAAGCAAGAATTAATGCCAGGAGATAGTTAATAAATAGTCTCAGAAGGTAAATGGTAGAAGCTGCATTTTAACTTAATTAAAATTTGTATCACTAAAATATTTAGTTTGGAGGATAACCCTACACTGACAAGAAGATAGATTAGATGACTTATGTTCCCCACCCACATTTTTGTTTTATGTGGTCCTGTGAGTCTCTTGAGCAATCTCAGTAAACAGAAAAGTATATAAATTAAATATTTCAAAGGTAAATAGAGTTTAAAATAATATGAGAGGGCTTGCTGAATGAGATGTTAGACACTCTGCTCTGAAAAATGGCTACCTGAGGTGAACCTGGTCTGGTGATTAACATTAGCTGAGCTTAAGCAAATGGATTATGATGTTTTTTCAGCTGAGCGCACTTGGAATAAGACTAAGGATGTTCATTTCATATGGCATGGAAAATCACATGTACAATTTATAAATCTCTGAAAATAAGCTATCTACTCTTTTATTTACATAGGATGTGACTGTGGGTGAGTACAATGAAGTTATATGCAATGCTTACCAGGTATATAGCATTAGACATATTCTTATATATTTAGACTAAAGTGTTCCACTTAGTATCTTTATAAAATTTAGCAGCTTTGCGCATAAATCATGAATAAGTGGTTTTGTTTATGAGAATATAGGCAAAGGGATTCAATTCTGAATTCTGTTTTATTTTCTTGCACAATAAAATTCTTAACAATGTAATTTCCAAAATTTCTTAATAGATATTCTGGATCATGTAATATCAGCTATTTCTTAATTTTAGAATAAAATAATTTATGTATGAAAATTGATACTATGTTTAAGATGAAATGAAACTACTACAGTGTGATCACCTGTAGTATGAAATAGTAACTTCTACAATATGTTGATTATTTATTTGTTGAAATATTTGCTATTTGTAAGATGCAATTATACGATATCTGAAAGATGTATAAGAAATTTCCACTATCACAATTAATACTTGAAAGTGCTCATACATGGTGTGCTATGCAACTATCAGTTCTCTGCCAAAACTCTTTCATCATTCTATGTTTTGCTAAGGAAAACTTCTTTTTCCTAGTTACTTTTGTGAATTCAAATTATTTAATGTTTATAATGAAAATTGTCTTTTTTTTTTCTATGTGTATTCTCTGTTTTGGATTTTGTTACTTCCACAGTGTCAATACTCAGTCTAATAATTATCTTTATGTAAAATGTATTGTGTTTCTCTCCCAAATGTTGATGCTTACATAACTGAATGTTTTACACAAGTACAAATATCCAGAATAACTTCTGAGATCCTAATTCAAAAGTGGTTATTATCAATAATTGCATGAGAAAATCCACCTATTTTATCTTTTTTAAGAGTGAATAATCACGCAGTTAGTTGACACGCCACTCCATTTTCATAAAGGATGAAAAGTTGTAATACAGAGTAGCTGAGGAGCTACATCTCTTAATTTCTGGCCATTATTGATGATGACTTAACAGTTTTCTTCCCTTCCCCAGAGATCCTGGACTGGACTCTGTTAGCAAGCTCAAGTCTTCTTTGCCAGTTAAATGGGCTAACATGACATTCTGTTCACTCAAGAGCTTTACTACTGTCATTGTTGCTTTCGTTGGAGCAGAACATTTGCTCTGCAAAGAGAGTAGGAAAGTTTGTGTTGCAGCTTGCAATAAAAATGCCCTTACGGATTTCCTCTAGGGATCTCAGTATAAACACATGAAGCATAAAATGGCTGGTTCAAATAGTGTCCCTAGTCTTAACTCACCTGCCAAGCTCTCAGTTTAGAAATGTAATGAAAATTTGGGCAGCTAATGAATAGATGTGTCAAAAAAGATGGGCAACTACAGCTTTCAGTGATTTCAGTTGAAGTGGAGCTCCTCCCTACCACAGAAAGTAAGCCATTTCACCAGCCATCATGGACGGGGTTGTATAAGTTGCAGCAGCCGAGCTTGAAAGCTTCTTCCTGCATATTCCTTAATTAAACGCTTGCAAGTGTTTTTTTTTTAAATTATTATTATTATTTTTTTTAATTTTAATTGGAATTGTGATTACCTAAATCAATCTTTGTGTACATTATTCTAGTGCAGACCTGTTTGGTTATTTTTCAGTTTTAGCACTTGGAGTGAATACAATTTAAAGCATAAATAATGTACTAAAAAGAGACTTTTCTTCCTGTGCTCTGATCATTTGTCTTGGTTTAATACCAGCCAGCAACCAAGCACTATGCCCACTCCGCCCAGCAGGATGGGGGAAAGAATTGTAAAAGTGAGAAAACTTGTGGGTTGAGATAAAGGCAGTTTAACAGTTAAAGCAAAAACTGCGCCTGTGCAAGCAAAACAAAACACAGAATTCATTCACCACTCCCCATGTTCAGCCATCTCCAGCAAAACAGGGCTCCTTCACACGTAACGGTTACTTGGAAAGACAGACGCCATAACTCTGAATGTCCCCCCCTTCATTCTTCTTCCCCAGCTGTATATGCTGAGCATGACGTCATATGGTATGGATTATCCCTTTGGTCAGGTGGGGTCAGCTGTCCCGGCTGTGTCCCCTCCCAGCTTCTTGCACACCCCCAGCCTTCTCGCTGGTGGGGCGGTGTGGGCAGCAGAAAAGGCCTTGACCCTGTGTAAGCACTGCTCAGCAATAACAAACACATCCCTGTGTTATCAACGCTGTTTTCAGCACAAATCCAAAACACAGCCCCGTACTAGCTACTACGAAGAAAATTAACTTATCCCAGTCAAAACCAGCACATTCTCCATTCTTATTCCATACCATTTATGTCATGGTCAGGTCTCACACTATCCAATACATTGATATAATACAGAGGTATCATTCCCTTAGTCTGTGGATCATCCCTGTAAAATGTATTTCGAATGCCCACAAATGTCCATTGAGTTAATTTAGTCCATAACTTTGGGCTCCATCTGTTATGGTGGCCACTCAGGACAGGCGAGGTGGGGTGTTGCTTGGAGCTACTGGGCATCAAGGCCAGCTCAGGTCAGGTCACTGCTGCACTTGCATTGCTTCGTGTAAGGCTTGTCCTCCACTGGTTCAAGGTGGTTCCTGCTATAGCAGTTCCTATAACATGCAACTCAAATCATGGGTTAGAGCAGTTTAAAGGTATTTCCATTACAATCTCCACCCCTGGGCCCTTTGGGCCAGGTTATAGGGTTTAACACTGCAATGAACTCCTCCCCTTGTTCCTAGACTGGCTAGCAGCAAGGGGTTCTTGCTATAGTAATTCCCATAACATGCTTTAAAGGTTTTTCCATTAAAAGATAAAATCTTGTCAAATCTGACTTTATTTGAACCTTGACTGGGTTGAAAAATAGCAACATTCTCTTACCAGTTTCAGAACTGACGTATGTGGTAGTAAAATCGTCAAAATATTGTTTTCCAAAGCTTCTTTAAGAAAAATATGTAGTAGCCAGAAGACACTGTTCCATTAGTCAATATGGCAGCTACATCAAGGTTACATTGGCAAAAAATTTTATTTATATTATTTTGATGACAAACATATTTCCTGAGACTGCTATACAGCTTTTCAGTAAAACTCCACTAATTCCCTGAGACTGATTAGTTGACTAACCATTTCTATACTGTGTTCCAGTCAAAGCAAGCCAATCATTTAGATAAAGTGAATTTATTAATTTAAAAGGTTGCCATTACAGTATCTGTATGTAGATTGGATTTAAATGGAAAGATTGTAGTGAGAGTGCTCTATTTTCAAGCATGGAGTCTATCCATATAGTTGTCAGAAATAATCTGTTGTTTAGAAGACTGGCATTTAAATGTTTCAGTTTAAAGACTACTTCTACTGAAGAATACATGAATTTTTTGTGTTTTTACAAAGGTTTTAAAGACTTTTCTCTTACTAAAAAAAGTTTTATTTGATCAGTAATTTTTCCCTCAGTATAAATGCAAATATTGTAGTGTTTTATGTATTGTGAAATATAAAAATTATAATGGAAAAGCAAATGATTTGTCAATGTATGATGCAACTTAAGTCTAAAACACGTCTCGGGCCTTATTCTGGTATTGTTTACAGTGTAGTAAATCAGGAGTCAGTTGTCTGACTTCAATGGATTTGCCCTGGTATAAAACTAATATATGAGATCAGAATTAATTGTATTGTCTTTGTTTTGTTATTTTGGACTGAATATGGCTCATGCGTAGGCACATGTGTTAGGCTCCCTCCTAATAAGGGTTTTGCTAATATCTTAAATATGAAATGTTGTCATTAGCTTTATCCTCAAGAAAGAAAACACCTAATTATCATTCTGGACTGATAAAGTACCTTCTTCTAAGGAAAGGTCTCTTATACCAAAATGATAAGAGATTTGAAATTACATTGGAGAGTTTTGGGAATATTTGCAAGTAGAGCTATGCTGACTTAATCCGACAGTACTGGAGTCTTTGTGGAATTTAGAGATAACGGCTTGGTTCCATTTAAGCCCAATGATTTTTGGCACAACTTACTGCTGTTTGTTTCTTGTAAATTCTCTTTCTGCACCTTTCAAAATGAAGACCGTATTGTTAGGTGACGTAAGAAAAATTTTACCTCCGTCTCCTCTTTTTTCCAGATTGCTGTCAAAATGAGTGAAACACCTTCAACTAGTTACTCGGTGAATCAGCCAAACTCCTCCGAGAGCGAACAGAGTTTATCCACGCGCCATTTCAATGTTACTGAACCCGTTGTGGCAAAACGGATCTGTTTTTATAAAAGTGGAGATCCTCAGTTTAATGGGATCAAAATGGTCATTAATAACCGGTCTTACAAAACGTTTGATGCCTTGCTGGATAGTTTATCCAAAAGGGTCCCGTTACCTTTTGGAGTAAGGAACATTAGTACACCAAAAGGGAGACACAGCATCACCAATTTGGAGGATCTTGAAGATGGAAAATCTTATATTTGCTCCCATCAGAGGAAAATGAAGCCCATCAACCTGGAACAGGCCAGCAAAAAGCCGCTGCCCTGGCTGATCAGTAGGCCTGTCAGCGCTCGTCTTCGAGCTGTGCAATTAGCAAGGAAGAATGAAGATGGATTTGGCCATCGAGAAAACAAAATAACAACTCCCAAAAACATGCTTGTTTTCAAAAATGGGGATGTAAGACTCAGGCGCACTGTAGTTCTGGGAAAGAAAAATACACAAACCTTTGGGGCCTTTCTAGATTATATGAGCGAGTTAATGCAATATCCAGTCGTGAAACTGTATACCACTGATGGCAGAAAGGTGAGAATAAAGATGAGCGCTGACAATTTTTCTAGCATTTCTTCTAGATTATTTTTAATTAGAAAGGTGATTTTATCGATTGTAAGCTTGAGATATTGGCCTTGTGTAAGATCCGATGTGCTGAATTTTCAAACCATGGACCAGGTTCTGGACCTCTAAACCCAGATGGTGCAGCATCAATAATCCCGATTTTCATCTCACATGCTGTTTTATATAATTTTATCTCACTTAGTGTTTTATCTGTGGTTGTTTAACCACAGAAAAGCACTTGTGATTATACCTAACAGGTAGCTGGAAAGAGAATTCCATGCAGAGCTCCAAGAGTTCAAGGGAAATCTTATGTTTACCCTCTATTTGGTGAAATTCTGGATTAGGCTGGAAAACTGTCCACATCACCTATAAGTCATAAGTCATAAGTGCTGTTTGTAAGCCTTATCTTGCAATATATTTTGGAGTATACACTCAAAACCGTTAGACAAGGCTCTGAGTACCTTGATCCTGTCAGACCTGCTTTGAGCAGAGGATTAGACTACATGACCTCCAGAGGTCTTTTCCAGCGTATATAGTCCTGTCATTCTGTCCTATTCCTCTGGCAGTACAGGTCAAGTACTTGTGGTGTATTCTGAAGTTCCCCTTTCTTCCTCCAAATATGTGTTCATATGTATACCTACCTCCAAATGCATATCCTTATTTCATGGCTATGAAAAATCACTGTGCAACGATGAAACAAAATTACATATGCAAACACTTAAATTATAAGAAAATTTTGATCTAGATCCAAGTTGCTTCTTGAAGTCTTTTTCTAATGTATTTATATAACAGACATACCCTCACAGAGATAGGAATTGCCTTATAGGAATTGAAAAATTAATTCCATGCTGTGATACATATTTAATAGCCTGCTGCAAACTAATATAGAGACTAAGAAGTGAAGATATTAAAGCATGAGAAGGATAAATCTTTTACATTATTTTTTGTGATTACTAAGGCAGAGAATTTAATGTCATTTTTTTTTTTCCCCAGGTTCCTAATCTTCAGGCCCTGATATTGTGCTCTGGAGCTCTAGTCGCAGCGGGGAGAGAGCCTTTTAAGCCAAGCAATTATGATTCTCTTGGGTATTCACGGCCTGCTAAATTGCTTGGAATTGCAAATCGTGTGTACCCAAAAGCAAATGCCAAATCAGAAAGTGAAAACAGTAAGTTCTTTGAATTAATTTGTATTTTATTAATTGGTTTATCTCTCAGCATAAGACATAAACCATGACAATCTTACTAGGATCAAGGATATTCAAAAAGGCCAGTTGAAACTCTTTATATCTGCTCTGACTCCTCTATAAGCATAAGGAAGATCAAAGTGTTAATGTTCTTTTAAAAATATTAAAAGGTAAGTTTCTGCTACGTACTCAGCTAGTATGCATGTTTTCTTTCAGACACACTTATTTAGAACATGGATGCAAATCTATAAGTATATTTTATTTTAATGCACTTGATTGTAATTGTTACTAATTTTTTGGTGTCACAGTAATGGCAGTGGTAAAAGAGAAACCACAGGTTACTTCAGGCTCTTAACTGATGGAATTTCTTGAGCAAAACTTTTGTGCAGTTTTCAGAATTTACCTTAGCAAGTGGAGGTTTGACATTGTCATTGCCATGGCTTTCATTTTTTCCCATGTCTCACGCTCCACATAAACGGGAAAAACATTATAGCTCCCATCCACTCACAAACTCGTTGTGGTTTTGAAGCTGCTTTTGTCTAAACAGAGTGTCATCCTTTCCTATATCCTCGTGGCCATGGTATATGTTTTTTGGATAGATTTGGGAAAAGATACACAAATATGTGCTTTCCCTTTGATTACTCACGGAGTTGTGCCACTGACAAGGTCGGTAAGAGTGTCCAGTGGATGACCAAGAACATGAGGAACTGTTGGAGAGAAGCCAGGCTGGCTGAATAGCCTGAGGTTGAGGGGAGCAAAATTCTGTGGTACCAGAGCTTTATATCGTGTGGGAAACCTGGGCATTAGAGCACACTGCAGGGCAGAGGTACCATCCAGGGGGAAATTTGTTTAATTCAGAGATACCTTGGACTCTTGATACAGCTGCGTCCTGTACTGGAGGGCCCAGGGAACACTGTAATTTTTTCAGTACTGAGACTTTCCATGATAATCTTGACTGTGTCATAGAGCACATTGATACATGACACTTGGCTTCCATTTACTTCAAGGAGTTTCTTCCACAGCCCTCACAGTTTATTATGTACCCAATCAAACTATTAATTTGATTTTTTTCTCAACCTTCATGTTCTTTGACTTCCACAGCTTGAGAGCTGTTTGCAGAGCATAACTAATGAGTCAAGAAAGAATGAATAGGAACATTTTGAGAATGAAAGTTCTGCAGAAACAAAAAGTCCTACCCAAATTTTGCTTTGAGCCAGAGACTGAGCCTTGCAATGGTAGAAAATGTGAGTAGCTGAGAATCTGATAAGCTCCCTCTTCTAATCCTTAGTTAAGAGCAATTACAGAAAAAGAGAGAAAAAAACCACCTCTCTTTTTGTCTTTAACCTGAGAAAATAAAAAAAAAAGTACCCTGTGTAGGAGACATCGCTGATGATGTGAGAGCCTGAGAAATCAAATTGCAGGCACTTTGTTCCAATTCCATTTCCTGAGTCAGAGAAGGTGAGATTTTTACTTTGGGAAGCATAAGGTCTGGTCTGTGTTAGAGGAGTTAGTACAAACTTTTATTTCTGATTCAGTTCATGGTAAAGCATATGCCTGGGAAACCTGCAAGGCAGTCTGCCTGAAATTATAGACACATATCTATAATAGTAATATGTTAACTGTGAAATTCTTGATATGAGACCATTTGTGACTCACTAAAGAAAAAAAAAAGCTTAAATTGAAGCAATGTAGATAAGTTAATATTACTTTTTAAAAAATACCTTTCTGCAAGTGAAAACTTTCTATTACATGGTGGCTCCTATATATTTAGGTGTCAGTAGCGGATGTTTGTGTGTGGGTGTACATGCACTGTTTCCCTCGCACATACAGAACTTCTTGGAAGACAGCAAAACTTTATTTTTATCTCAGTTCTTTTATCTCTCACCTTTTCAGTGACAACTTCTAGAGAGAGAGATGAGATATAATTTTTTTAAAAGCCCAAGTTATTACAGAGTAATCAAAACATATCTTGGGAATATTTAATGTGTGTGCAAACACATATTGGACCATATTCAAAATTCATTGAAGCTTGGAAGTATTCTCATTGGCTTTACTGAGTTTTACGCCATTGTCTACAGTACTGTAGGATAAAGTATCCTTGACAAAAAATCCATGACATCTCAGAATGTCATGATTTAAATGCAGATTTTATAAGAAATTCAAGTGCTTTAATGTTTACTTCTCTGTAGAAGGTCAATCCAGAGGATTGGATCTGAACCCTTCATTCACGTGTCAGTGACACTACTCACAGTAATTACTCATATGTTGTAGATTGTTGGATTAAGTACAGGTAGATATATGTTCACCTTGACTGATACATTTTAGCACTAACTGTAATAACTAATAGGAAATGATACATTAATGATTGCTAAGGAGGCATGAAGGTGAAGTAAACTGGTAGCTTGAAGCCCAAACAAGCAAGGGCCTGTGAATCCCTTGAAAAATATAAAAAAAAGAGCATTTAGTACTTTTTTAGGCTTTGGAGCTTCAACTAAAACTATAGTTTTGGCATTAGAAAGAACCTCTTACAAAATAAAATTAAATGGAAAAGTAGTTAAATGCTTGATTATTAAAAATTGGTTATATTTCTCTCTCTAACAACTTCTCAAAACGAACAGCAAGATTATCCATGTTTTTCTCTTTACTTTCTAATACTCGGGTAAAATAAACACACTTCATTACCTTCTTTTGTACTAATTTTTCTCATTTCTTCTTTTTTCTTCCTTTGCTGCCTGTCTGCTGTCTCACCATCTGGATCCTTATGCATGATATTTGTCTGCTCTACTTTCCACCTACTGAATTAATTCGGGTTCTTTCAATGTAATTATTGGTAGCAAGAGCTGAAATGAGCTCTAGCTCAAGATCTCAGATATTCTCAGTTTCTTCTGATAAAGGGTCCAGCAATGATAACTCAAATGATAACAACTCGGATTCTTCCTATGTTCCTGACAGTCATAATAGTATAGGAGGAAGTCAGTCAGTTACTGGTGAAGACTTATCTGTGGCACAGTATGAAGATGACATTGAGAAATCTGTTCACGTTAATCAAGATGGCAGTATCACAGTGGAAATGAAAGTTCGATTCAAAATTAAAGAGGAAGAAACCATTAAATGGACAACCACTGTAAGTCGTGCTGGCCTTTCTGATGACAAAAATACCACCATTTGCAATTCTGCAATGCGTGCGGAAGACTGCTTATCCAATGTAAAGGTATCAGAACACATAAAACCAAAAGATGCTCTGTTTTTGAAGAGCCACAGTAAAGAAGAGGGAGATTTATTACAGCAATTCAATGCAGAAGTGTCAGACAAAGAATCAGAGTCTGATTTAAAAATTGCTGGTTGTAGTATCTATAAGAGGAACAATTTTGCAGATCTAGATGTGAACAATGCACCTGAGGATAATATCAGGCCTCGCTTTTACAGGCCTCCTACCCCTGGGCCAAGGCGTGTTAGACAAAAGAAAGCAGTAGTTGAAAGTGTCACCTTGGTTTCCGAGAAAGAAGTTCAGGAGAAGACAATAGGACAGTTTTCCTACAGTGAGGAAATACAGAACAAATCAAATAAATCTGAGTATTGCATTGTAGCTCATTCAGGCAGAAAAAAATCAAGTGTCAGTAATCCAAAGTTTAGTGAGATGAATGAAAATAATTTATTAGAACTTTCTTCAAAGAATATAAAACAAGAAATGCATTTTAAAGTAAGCCACAAAAGTAATGATTTAATAGAAATCACAAATAGGAAGACATTAGAAGTGCCTGATGAGGATGAATTGGTACAGAATATGTTAGAGAAATCGGTTGTGGAACAAGGTACATATAATAGTTTAGTATCAACCTGCAAAGCTAACATCGATGATTTCATACCATCATCAAAAATTTA